AGCAAAACTGTGATTAATAGTTAAATATTATTGTTGAGGGGCACAGACAGGACTCCGCACGCACACACACATTAAAATAAATAAATACTTTTTTTTTAAAAAGGCACCCATCAGGAAAGGGGCGGGTGCTCAAGCCCCTCTAGCCCCCTCCTCTGCACGTGCCTGGTTACAGGGTGACGCTCTCTCTGCGTGTTTCCTGGGTGAGAGAGCGCCTTGTTGTTGTCGAGTTTAAGGGTTGATAACGATGAATCACCAGCAGCTGTTGCTAAAAGCACCTTTGTTAGATAGCAAAGTATTTACAAATAATTCTCCCGTTCATTGATCTGAGCATGCGCAGAATGAGCCACAGCGCTCCTTTGATCCTTTGATCTTCTCAAACGATCATTGTGACGTCACGGTCGACATCACATTCTCTGTCACGCCCACCAAGACCTTAAATAGAGGAGCTCGTTTAACAGTTTAATCAGAAGGAGCCAGTTGTTTTAGACAAAGCTAACCTTTGCATTTAAATCATTCACAGATTTAACTTTTTGACACTTTTGAGCATTAAACCTTTAAAGAAATGTCACAGGGAAGCGGAGATCAGGCAGACCCACTGCAGCGTACGAGAGATGAACTCAGGCATGAATACGCACAACTCAGGCTTGAAAACTTACGACTCAGGGAAATGAACGCACAACTCTGCGAAAGAAACACACAACGCAGACTAAAAAACACACGACTCAGGGTGAGAAACGCACAACTCAGTCAGAACTACACTGAACTAAGTCAAAACTACATTGAACTCAGTCAAAGCTACAGACAACTCAGTCGAGAGAACACAAAATTGAGCAAAGAGATGGAAGAATTCACACAAACTGTGGGAAATGTACAGCAGACAACAGAAAGAGAATCCTTTGGTTCGTGGTGTCTAAACCTACTTGGAGAAGGTTTAACTGTTGTCGCATATGTCTTTGCTCTTCCTGCAGCTGCTTTCTGGGTCGCCTGTAAGATTTTCGGCTGAAGCGAATGTCCCACTCTGTGAGGTCATGATTATTATCATGACCTCACAGAGCGGGGATCGGTTGCATGTGCTTGCATGCACACGTCCCATCGACAATTGTGGATTGTTTATGTTTATGGAAAGATTTACGCTGTGTCACATGAAAATATTCCTTTGCAGCATTTGATTG